GCTGTTACAGAATTAACATTAGATTTGAGAGATGCTACTGCATCAGGAATTTTCTTTTTGGTGAAAATCATTTAGAAAGTTTATGCTAAGACTCACTGTTTGATTAAAGAGGGAAAAAATGCAGTAAGACACTGAGAAGTTTCTGGGTGCAGAGGTGGTGGGTGAGGCGAAACTTGTTAGAGGATGTGTGTTTTTCTTTTTGAGGTGTGTTTTATAGCTTCTCCCAGATGGTATGAGGCACAGAAAGAAACAGACCTAGCTCTTCCTCTTCTCACTTTACCCGGTCCTGAAACCACCTCACCCACACATCCACAAGCTGGCACCATGAGAATGTCCATTTCCAACAGAGGGGTTCCCTGCCTTCAGCTTCGAATCTATAGCTTCCTTTACTCTGTTCCTGGGTAAATCAAAAAGAATTTATGTAAGAGTTCAATTCATGGACGTATGGGCCATTCCAACATGTGTTTAAATATGTCTTTGCACTCAGTGGATGGCTGCAGACATGTTCTCTCATCATGGAGTTGTCTGAGTCTCATTAAGGTGCCTTCAAAACAAAGGTGTAGCCCAAACAGTGGCTTCCAAGAGGACCTGCTGGGCTAGTTAAGTTCCAGGCAGAGAGGTCAACTCAGAAGGTCGGAGACTGCTCTTTGGATCCCCACGTGGTCACCTTGATTTTCTTGAAGGGCACTGGACCATCACTGGGACTTATATGAAGACATTTTAAGAACATGGAAAACTACTGGTAGAAAAAGGCCAGGGAGGGTGCACTGTGGAATTCTTTTCCCATCATAGTAATGCACCTGCTCATTCTTTGAGGGTGCAAGGCTGTCCTACAGAATTTTCAAGGGAAACCTTACTCCATCTACCTTACAGCCTGATTTTACCCTTCAGACTGCCTTTTGTTCCTCAAAACTCAAAGAACATTTGAGAGGAACACAATTTGAGTCCCTTCAGGAAGCCAAAAGTGCCATTTGGACATGATGTAAATCAGAGTTCAGCATTCTATGGGGAAAGGTTAGGCAGACGAAAACACCACCTTCAGAAGTGTAAAGACCTGGGTAGAGGATATGTTAAGAAACAACAGCTTCACATTCTGTTATTTTAGCTGAATAAAGGTTTCATTCTCCTGTACATACGGTCGCATGTTGGAACGAACTCAATCACACCTAACAATTATCTTGTAACAGTACTTTCCCACTTACCCCTGGTACCTCCTTGGACTGCTTCACAATTTTCAACACACCACACTTGAACTAGTCACTCCCTGTATGGCTCCTCCCGTTGCATGTATTATCACAGTGAGTGGCACGTCCACCCATCCACGCACCTTCTACCCCCACAGTGAAGCAGTGCGCCCTTTCAGGTCTACCTCCTAAAAGGCTCCAGCTTCTGTCCACTTCCCTCCAGCTCCTATCCAGGCTACAAGGAGCGCTAGCATCCAACTTCTGGCTACATGGGTTTTCTCTGTAACTCGAATTCCCAAATTTATTCTCACTTTACCACCTGTCACTTGACGTTCCCTCTCCTCAGAATGCTTTCACAGCACCAGTCAACTCAGCACAGCACGGATAGCAAAATTAGAAAAAACAGATGACAAATCTGCTGAGGGTGTGGACAGACGGAAACCCTCATACACTGCTGGTGGGGCTGTACACCGGGGCAAATACTGTGGAAATTGGCATGGTGCATCCTCAAAAAGTTGGGAACAGAAAGAGTATGTGACCCAACAATCCCCATAGAGACCTAAGCGTCGGGATATGAATAGATACAGGCACACTCATTCATTACAGCCCTAACGACAACAGCAGAACACTGGGAATAACCCAGATGCCCAGCAGTGGAAGAATGCGTAACCGTGCTTTGGTACAAACACACAGTGCAAGACTAAAGAACATTAAATAATGACGAATCTGTGTGACATTTCACAGCACAGATGAACCTGGAAGATATTATACTGAGTGAAATTAGTTAAACACAAAAAGGCAAATATTTTATGAGATCACTCTTGTAAAAAGTGAAGAAAAGGCTTCCACATAGAAAGAAACATTCTTTGATGGTTCCCAGGGATGTGAGGAGGAAGAGAAGTCACAAGCTCTGGGTGGGCAAGTGATAACTTGGATGAAAGGGAAGGCGATACACAAGGAGGTGAGGGAAAACATGAGGAGGTTTGAAAGAGTTAACGGCAACAGAGGCAAACACTGTTATATATAAAATGCTGCAACAGTGGGCATGTCTGAGGAGATGCTTGGATCGCCATGCAGGCTGAACAGGTGGGAGAGTGGGAGTATATCCACGAATAGATAGAGTTCCACAGATGATATTTTATATGGACATTTACTGCAAACATATCCATAAATGTGGTGGAGTGGACAGTAGGCAAAGTTATGAAAACTTTTTAGACATAACCAGATACCTAAAGGGAATGAGTTACTGAAGCTGGGGAATCAGGACCAGTCTCAGGAGACAATAAGGTCAAATGGCCTAATGTAGTTCACAATGTTCTACATCCTACTTTGAGCAGTGATTAGAGCTTATAAGCTCACAAGCAGTTATCTAAAGTACAACTATTGGTTCTCCCCATCCAGAGGAAAGAGTAACAACCAAAATCAAGTCACATGAAAATAATTAATCTAGTGGACTACGCAAACATCAGTCTTCACAACCCTGAGACCAGAAGCACTAGATGGTGCTCGGCTATGATCATTAACAACTGCTCTGTAAAGGATTACATTAAAAGGCACTGGATTGAGTGGGAGAAAAATGTGGAATTGAACTTACTGGTTTGAAACAGAATGGTAGAACCCCCCTACACTTACCTCTCTCTGCATTACAACAATCAAGCATTTAATAGCAAAAGGGCAGCACTGACTGAAGGACAAGTTCAGAGGGCTGAGAAAAGAGGAGGCACAGAGAGAGACACAGGGAAGAAGTGGGATAGGTGATGGTACACTGAGGGGATTGCAGCAGACGAGTTGAGTCAGAATATGCATGAATTATCAAATATAAAACTATGATCTGTTGTGTAAACCTTCACAACACACACACTTTAAAAAAAGAAAAGAGAATGTTCTCACCCATCATAGCTTGACTGGTTCTTTCTCATCCTTTACATTTAATTTATGTCTTGAATTTATAAAGCGATTTTGGTAATATAAAAGTTTTCTTGCTAAGAAAACTCTAATTTCACTGAAATAGAAGAATGATCTTTCTTTGGTACCACAATAATTTGTATCAGGGTATATACACAGATATAATCAGACCTATAAAGTAATACTAAAATACCAGAAAACCAGCTTCTATCAAGTCAATTCTGACCCAACGTCAGTAGATGGCCACGACTTTTACTCCCAAGGCACAGACTGGAGCCCTCAGCCTTTTGCTTAGCAGTGAGTGTTAACTGTACCACCCAAGCGCTCCATAAAGGAATACTACTGAGTTTTCAAATAAACACACCCAGTTAGTTATATACATTGTTGGCTTTTGAAAGTTGTCCCCTTGATGACTCCTTTCAATAATGGAACCAAAGTGCAAAAACGTTTTGAAAACTGCCCTCAGATAATGCAGTGATTCATCTGAATGTTCTCATAGATCATGAAGCTTTGGTCTTTGCAGCGAATCTGACCTTCGCAGGTGATGCCGTCATGAGAAGCCTGTGTCAGAAAGCGATGTTAAACACCAAGACACGCTTGAAGCACACATTGTAACCCTGGCAGCAAACAAGGCCTCCTGATTTAGGGAGATGCTAGTTGTGAAAGTGAAAATAAAGCCAAGGGGGATTCCAGAAATGTGAAAGATGGAGGAACTCACAGACACACAGACTTGCTGACGGGGAGAAAGAATGAAAGTCAGGAAACTAGGCTATGAGTCACAAGCCCTTCTGAGAATCTGATGAAAGTTATGACTCGTTTCCTCAGGAAAAGGTAGGTACACACACACACACACACACACACACACACACATACACACACCCTATTTGCACAAGAGTCTTAGGAAGTCATGGCCTGATACTCTGGAGTCCGATGAAGATTTCATAGTTCAGAGCAGCAGGTTTTTCTTTCATTTTTTCCCTATTGCAACCCACAGCAAGATATATTGTATAGCTGACCAGACTGCACAAACATACGGCCGGTTAAGTGCCCTCGAACTGATTCCAGCTCATAAGGAACTGCACAAAAATAAGCCAAAGCTCACTGCTGTTGGGTCAATTCTGACTCGTCACTCTACAGCAGTGGCTCCTCACAACAGGAGGAACTGTATTAAAGGGTCGCGGCATTAGGAAGGTTGAGAACCACTGCTCTACAGGATGGGGTAAAACTGCCCTATAGGGTTTCCTAATAGTCCTGGTGGTGCAGTATTTAAGTGCTCAACTGTTAACCCGAGAGTTGGCAGTCTGAACCCTCCAGCTGCTCCACTGGAGAGGAGGCAGTCTGCACCCAAATAGATTCATAGCCTTGGGAGCCTTATGAGTTCTATCCTGCTCCACAGGGTGATGATGAGTCACATTAACTTGTGGGCAATGAGCTATGGTTTCAATCTTCGTGGGATCAGATTGTCTGGTCTTTCTGCCCACAGTGCAGCTAGAGGGTTGGAAGCACTGAAATTTCAGTTGGTAGGCAAGTGCTTAATTATTGGTGCCGCCAGGGCTCATTTCACACAACATTCTCAACTCTGGTATAAACGGTGTACTGTCTGGCGTATTTGCTCTTTTTCATGATTTCAGCGAGAACAACTGTTAATCTGTGACCCCTGTGACCTACGGGACCACCTAATCTCACAACCCAGAGTTTGAAAATTACTATGTTGTAGAGTAAATGCTGCATAACTGGAATGCATTAATGAAATACAGAAGGCACACTTGATTATTAAAATTCTAATGTGCTATTTTAAAATAAGATTGGATTATTTGTGGCAAGATTGCATTCATTGTATTCATTCATTTATATGGCTTGTTATGGAAAGCACTGATAAGCAAATTATACAGCAGTCATAAAACCCCATACCTTAATGTTAGAAAACCATAAATCATTTTCATGTAAAGTGGCAAGGTAGACAGATGTAAGCAGTCCAACGAAAAGGGCAATGGTCCCACCAATTGTAAACGACAGAATCTTCCATAATCTTCTACTGGTACAACCTTATGTGAAATTGGAACAGAGAATCGAGTCAGTAAAGGGTGCAGCATTCAAGAGTCTGACCAGATGAGCGGATATGCTAAATTCTAATCGCTGGCGAAGCTTTCCCTGTCCCCAGCAGAGGGGCTCCTTTTGAATCCACAAATGTTTTGTCTCACTTTGGGCTTTGCCCCAAAGCTTGCCCTGCTGTGGGCTTGCCCATTTTGCCAACCAGAAGTGAGAAGTACTGTATAGTATTTATCATTAATACTTAAGGCCTATATTAGCTTAGTCAAACAATTAGCACTTACCTTGATGTTTGTTAAATGCAGGAATGCATGAATTACATCTATAGAATGTAAATTATCTTTTGGAGCATCTATTTATAATCTTCAGTTTATTCATAAAAGGTACCAAAAGCACTTTATTTCTTAAGGGAAAAAAACATATACCAAAGACAATACATAACTAAAGAAGGAAGCAAACTGAGAAAATTATTTATAACATATACATATAATAAGGCACTAGTAATCCTTCACACATGACCAGTATTTTCATGACAATAAAAAAGACTAATATTCCAATGGGAAAATAATTAAGGACATGAATAAGCAATGCACTAAAGAAAAATGGCCAATGAGCAGGATAGAGAGAAGAATCTTCAAATTCATTGGTGTTAAGGAAAGGCAATTCCAAACAAAGGTATAATTTTAGCAGTGGCTGTTGATCGGTTTTAAGGAGAGCCGGTGGTATAGGAGTTAAAGCATTCTGCTGCTAAACAAAAGGTTGCCAGTTCAAATCCAACTACCACTACATGCAAGAAAGATGTGGCAGTATCGTTGCACAAACATTTAATCTTAGAAACCTTATCGGCCACTTCAGGTCTCTCTATGAGTTAGAATCAACTCAATAGCAGTGGGTTTTGCTTTGGGTGGGCAATTTGATAGCTAAAAATGCTAAAAACCTGTTTTAGTAATAGTTGGCCTCAGGATATTTACCACAACGAAGGAGCCCTGTGGCACAGTGATGAGTTGGCCTGCTAACCCAAAGGTCAGCAGCTTGAACCCACCAGCCACTTCAAGAGAGAAAAATGAGGCTTTCTGGCTCTTGTCAAGATTTACAGCCTTGGGAACCCGTTAGGTCGGTTCTATTCTGTCTGATAGGGTTACTCTGAATGGACTTTGTGGTAGGGAGTTTAAACAAGCAGTCAGTTAAATCAATTGTGCTAAAGCCATAGGTATTAAGAATCACTGCTACAACTCATCTGTCCGTTTGCTGTACTGTGGTGGTTTACATATTGCTGTGATGCCAGAAGTTATGCCACCAGTAACTCAAGTATCTGTAGAGTCACCCTGCTGGACAGGTTCAGTGGAGCTTCCAGACTAAGAGAAAGGTCTGGCAAGGCTTTCCTGAAAATTAACCATTGGAAAGCAAAAATCACAACACATCATCATCCAACTTGCTTGTAAGAAAATTTGCAGCCTGAAAGCTACAGAAACTTTGGTGAAATGGAGAGTAAGGAGCGAAGGGAGCCCTCAGTGAGATGGATCAGAGGAGCCACATAGTGGACCTGGCCATGCTGGTCATCCGAAGGCTGATACACGAGGCGATACTTCATTCTGCTGTACATAAGGCCACCATGAGTCGGAGTCAACTCCATGGCAACTACCTATCTACCCAGTCAGTGACAATATTTTAAATATGCATTTACTGAATTAGTTACACACAAATACTGAATGAGACCCACTTGTATGAAATATCTAGAATTGACAAATGTATACCAAACTTACTGCTACTGTGTCAATTGCAACTTGCAATGACCATACAGGGTTTTCAGTGACTACATATTTATGGCAGCAAGCCGCCTTATCTTTTGCCCAAGCATTGACACTGGTGGGTTAGCAGCTCAATGGCATTTGAGGATTTCTTGGCAAATGTAGAGACCAAAATGAATTAGTTATTATTAAGCATGAAAGAGAAGGACCGAGTTTCTGTTAAGGGGAAGAGAGAAATTTCAACTAGCATAGTAATGATGGACACACAATATGATAAATAATTAACATCGGTGAATTATGCATGCAAAAATGTTCAATGGAAAATGTTTTGCTATCTCATTTGTGCCACAATTTAACAGTCTTAATGGATCTAACTTAGGATATGTTTGCATTAGAGGAGGAAAGGACCTCAAGCCTATAGATGAAGGCTTGTGGGTATGGGTGTGCAGAGATCAAACAACATCTCCATCAGTGACTGCCTCGTGATGGGTGGGGTAAGCTGTGGGACTTCTTTTTCTTTCCTTTATGTTTTCCCTCCGTTTTCAGAATGAATACTGATTTCAGCAATCCCCAAATTATGGTCTACTTAAAAGGAGAACAAACTTGAGTTTACATTGTGTGTATTTTTCAGAAAGTACTGTATATTGCCTAAAATGCATCACTGCTAATAGCCAGGTTGGATGGCATGATAATCGCACCCATATGTTTTACTTTTACCAAATGTTTCTCCAAATTACTAATTACAATTAATGCAGACATGAATTAACATGGCTACACTCAAAACAAATTCTATCAGGTATACAAAATGGCTTGCAAATGGACATACAAATCTTCAGGCTTACCCTTACAATTCTGACCAGACTCAAACTCAAATGCCACTGAGCCAATTCCGACTCATCTATGGGGCAGAGCACAACCTGTGGGTTTCTGAGACTGTAAACCGCTAGGGGAGCAGAGAGCCTCACCTTTCTCCAGCAAGCAGCTGGTGGTTTTGAACAGCTGACCTTGGGGTTAGCAGCACAATTTATAATCCACTGCCCCACTAGGGCTCCTTTAGATCCTGATCAGGCTTCAGAAAGCCACTCAGGAAGTGGTAATCAGTGCCATTTGAGGATATCTAGCAAGACTTTTCAGTATTGTATAAACAATTTACCAAAATCTGGCTATTTTTCTCACCAAAATAAAGCAAAGGTGAAGCTTCCAGAATTTGAATGAAAATAATAAAAACATTTTGATTAGTGTTTGAATACTTTAATGAAATCAAAAATTCATCTAATGTAAGGCTGTCTAATATGCATGGTGTATATAAACAAGAAAAAATTAGAAATAGACTAAAAGCTGAATTGAAGGGCAAAGCATTAATCTAGACAGTCAAAAGTTCAGAGGGTTGTGACCATAAACTAATGATCAGACCAAGGAGAAGCTAATCAAAGATCTTTCTAATCAAAGTCTTTTATTAGTTGTACCTTTAGAGCCAAAATAATCTAAGTGACTGTAAAACCCAACATCTGGACATGGGAACAAAGTTTCCTCAACTGCCAGCTTCCCAACGTCTTTGTCCCATTGGCATGTGATATTTTATTGTGCGGAGATAGACGCGATCCCCAAGGCTGCTTTCCTTTCAATCACGTACCAGATGGCAGTTTACTTTCCGACTTCACATTCTCTTCTTGTGCCGGAGCGTCCTCACAGACGTCTGTGGTTCTTATTGCTTTTCTTTGCCGGATGGACATCATGTCAAAGACTTACATGCATTGTCCTTCCAAGCCCTCCTACAAGCGACAGAGAAATCAAAGGCCCACCCATATGTCAGTACCCCTCTCCCTCGCCCCCACCCCAAGCCACATGGACTTAATTCAAGCTGTTTTCTTGAATAACAAGAAAACCACTAAATCACTTCTGACTCCTAGCAACCCTATAGACATGCATAGCACTCTCTCCCCCTTTTCCCGCCACCAAAAACTCAGTGCCATCTGGTCATTTTCGACTCACAGGACAGGGCAGAACTGCCCCCATGGGTCTGAACTTGTCACCTTGTGGCGAGCAGCACATTGTGTAACCACCAGTCCTCCTTAAACTGAAGACATTAGACCAATCTTCCACAAGAGCATGTTTACAAGTGGCAGCAAGGTGGCAGGCATGGCCAGGAGGCGGAAAGAACCTTGGTGGGTGTTGCAGTGGGTTACATTGGGTTGCTCACCAGAACGTCAGTAGCTTAAACCCACCAGTCACTAAGGGGAAGACTGGGCGTTCTGCTGCAGTTAAAACTGGCAGTCTCTGAAACCCCCAAGGCAGTTCTTCTTTGTCCTCCAGGGTCACTGTGAGAGGAGTCAGAATTGAGTGACTGGCACAGGGGACCATAAGCTGGGAAAGCCTATGGAGCAACAGGAACACGGCTAGCCCTTCCCTGGATGCTGTGCTTCTGGTTGGTGGTCTTCCTCACCCAACCACAGCAGTCTTTATGCAATTGTCCACATCGTGTCATTTAGAGTTCTATGGAGCTTCCATCCCAAACTCACCAGCACTGTATCAATTCCAACTCATAGCATCCCTATAGTGGCTCTCAACCTTCCTAATGCCGCAGCGACCCTTTAATACAGTTCCTCATGTTGTGGTGACCCTCAACCATAAAATTATTTTTGTTGCTACTTCATAACTGTAATTTTGCTACTGTTATGAATTGGGCTACCCCTGTGAAGGGGCCGTGACCCACAGGTTGAGAACTGCTGCCATAGGACATGGCAGAACTGCCCCCTGTGGGTTTCGGAAGCTGTAAATTTTTAAGGGGGCAGAAATCCTCATCTTTCTCCCACAGAGCAGCTGGTGGGTTTGAACTGCTGACCTCTCTGCTACCAGTCCAATGCATAACCTGCTAAGCCACCCAGGCTTCTTTTCTATAGGCAATGAACTTTCTTTATTCTGCATCTCCCACACACCGGATTCCGTGGGAAGAATTCAATAGCTAATATCCCGGCCGCCTGATTTTGAAGGGCAGGAGCTTCTAAATTTTCGTAACTGTGCTTTCAAACAATTACCACCTGAAAAAAGGCGGTCTTGGCCTCGGCGGTGATGGGGTGGGCCGCAGGGCGGGAGCTGGGAGTGGGTGCAATCAGCCAGCTGGGGCGCCACAGTGGGAGTAACCACAGGGAGCAGGAGCCTTGTTTGGAAGCCGCAAGTGGGAGGCCGCTGAGCGGTGGTGGTGAGTTGGATGGGTACAGTCCCCGGGTACAAGCTGCTTCACTCGAATAATGAACAGTATTTTTACCCCGCGTTCAGTCCATACAGCCCCACAGCCTGACACCATTGTTTGGACACTATGAATTAGGGAAGGGAAAGCCTTTGCGCTGTGGAAAGGCACAAACCAACCTGAGATCATTCATTCATTCGTGCCAAAAATAAATGTGGGCAGGCAAACAGACTTCGGCACAAGATGCTGAGTCTTCAAATGCGTCCAATGGAGAAAAAGGCGCAGGGAAGGAAAAAGGAGCGTGAGCCCAGGGCCCTGCCGGAGATGATGGGGTAGTCCCCACGGGGCCTGCCTGCTTCGTGAATGGGGCGAGGAGCTGCACAAACGCCCACTCCATACTTGCTTGCGGCCCAAGGCCGCGAAAGTCCAGTAATGCGTGCGTGCCAATTCGGACAATCCCACAAACCACGGGACAAAAAGTTCCTGCTTCAAATGCAGACGGAGCGCGCGCTAACGTGTCAGAAAGCGGCGCGGCGCGGCCGGCAGGGCTCCCCAGCCCGCGGCCTCTGTGCCGCCGCCCCACACCTGCGGCCTCGGCGGCGCCCCGCGGGCGGG